TCAAGACAAGTTAATTAAACTTACTGTCCTCTCAGAAACAGTTCAACTTCACATACTCAGAGCTGGATTATGACCTTTTGGGGCCCCTAGGCTAATGAAATTATGGGGCCCCCTCAGAATATTTTTTATTTGTGATATATTTTAGCGACATTTACATAACTTGAAGTAAACTTATTGTAAATTCTTTAAATAAACTAGCATAGCTATCTTTTGTTTGTCAATAAAAATCTTCTTCAAATACCATTATTTTACTATATTTCAACATAACCGTAGCAAAACAAACAAACAAACAAACAGATTTTTTTATAACCAAGCCCCTCAAGCTTGGGGCCCCCAAGCTTGAGGGACCCGGGGCTGCAGCCTATACTAGCCCCTAGGATAATCCGGCCCTGCACATACTCAACAATATCTTTGATCATTTACGGCTTATTTCCTGCACAGCCTCCACACAGATCCTTCAAACAACATGAACCCAGTTTCGTACAACTTCCTATCTTCATAATCTTTATCCTACCGAGTTTCCACGTTTACTCACTCTTGTTTTTTTATGATTTTGGCGTCATCTTCCTCTCGATGACGAAGCTGAGTTTCCTCCTGTTCTAGGCTTTTGTTGCGTTGGTCAAAGTACTCCTTCTTCTGAATTTCTGCATTCTTATAGATGTTTTCTAACTGTTTCATGTACTCATTGTACTTATCTTTACATTTCCTCTGGAATATGCATTTACCGATTATTATTTTTGTTTGCTGAAATAATACTAATGAAAAACATACAGAAAAAAAGTAAAACAAAAACAAGTGAACAAACAAAGTTAATATGCAATGGTTTTGGACACAGTGAGGAAATAATTACGTGGTTAGTGATGTGAAACATGTTTAGCAAATGCCAATATAAGAAGAGGAAGGCCAAAGATAAGATGAATAGATAAAAAACAATGATGTTTAAAGAGCAAAGGGGGTTAACTAGAGCCTTTATAGTTCCAGCAAAGGCCAATAAACCTCCATAGCACATGTATGATGAGATAGCAAGTGCTTGGACTAGTTCTTGCCAGAGTATAATAGGTGGGTGTTTGTTGTCCTTTTGCTAGAAATCTCACTGCATGGAAGCCATGGCAAGTGCTTGTTGCAATAGGAATTAATCTCACTGCCTACAGATTTTTTTTGTATAGCTGATATTGTTTTATTTAGTTATGCTTACTGATGACTACTTTCACAGTCTGGTTTATTTTCTAGTCCCATCTCCTAATACTTGACATGGAGAAGTGTTGTGAGAAACACTGACTCCAAAATAAGCAAAAAAAGACAAAGAGAGAGAAGTCGTATAATTTATTTCTTACCTTAACCTTCTGTTGAATCTCTTCTTCTAGTTTCATTTCCTCCATTTTCTCTATGAGTTGTCTGGCGTACAGTGCCTTCCGGCTGGTGACAAGAGCTTCGCATGTCGCCTCGTCATCCAACTCTTCCTTTGGGTCTATCCACTGTAAGCTGGAGCTGCATTGGAAAAACAAATTAGAAAAATAAGAACATAAATAATAATAATAATAATAATAATAATAATAATAATAATAATAAAAATCAATATATGCATAAAAAAAAAGGGATTATGACAAATTTGTTGGGAGGTGTAAGGGAAAGATAGTAGATATTTCACATATGCCTATAATGGGGTAACATCTTGAGTTTTAGGAGGTAATGTGTGGAGGTCTCTAAATAGCAAGTCTATGGAAGAGAATGTGTGTGCGTGAGAGTGAGAGAGAGAGAGAGAGAGAGAGAGAGAGAGAGAGAGAGAGAGAGAGAGAGAGAGAGAGAGAGAGAGAGAGAGAGAGAGAGAGAGAGAGAGAGAGAGAGAGAGAGAGAGAGAGAGAGAGGGGGGGGGGGGGGAAGAATATAGAAACAGAGAGAGAGAAAAAAAAAAAGAAAAAAAAAAAGAAAAAGAAAAAAAGAATAAAGATAGAAAAAAGAAGTCAAGAGAAAAGAGAAAATTCAAAAAATATCAGAAAGAAAATAGAAAGAGAAAAGGAGAAAGAGAGAACATTTCACCTGACTCTCGATTCTTCCTGTGAGTCTGTTTCATCCTCCTTGTCACTCTCTGCCGCATCCTCACTCTCGGTCTCGCCTCCTGAGTCAGCCTCAAAGGAAAACCCCGGAGAGAGGGTGATCTTTGACATGTCTCCCACCCATTTGAGGCCATTTGTGTTGTATTCTGAATCCTGGAAGGGTGAAGAAGTCGTTAAAGGTTTACGGTCTCTCTCTGTCTTTAACCCCTTGGTGCCGGGTATGACGTGTATGTACGTGCTATGCCCACAGTGAGTACTTGTTTGATTGTTTTTACGCATAGATGGCAACACTTGTACTAACTCCCCAATGAGCCAGTAATAATAATAATAATAATAATAATAATAATAATAATAATAATAATAATAATAATAATAATAATAATAATAATAATAATAATAATAATAATAATAATAATAATAATAATAATAATAATAATAATAATAATAATAATAATAATAATAATAATAATAATAATAATAATAATAATAATAATAATAATAATAATAATAATAATAATAATAATAATAATAATAATAATAATAATAATAATAATAATAATAATAATAATAATAATAATAATAATAATAATAATAATAATAATAATAATAATAATAATAATAATAATAATAATAATAATAATAATAATAATAATAATAATAATAATAATAATAATAATAATAATAATAATAATAATAATAATAATAATAATAATAATAATAATAATAATAATAATAATAATAATAATAATAATAATAATAATAATAATAATAATAATAATAATAATAATAATAATAATAATAATAATAATAATAATAATAATAATAATAATAATAATAATAATAATAATAATAATAATAATAATAATAATAATAATAATAATAATAATAATAATAATAATAATAATAATAATAATAATAATAATAATAATAATAATAATAATAATAATAATAATAATAATAATAATAATAATAATAATAATAATAATAATAATAATAATAATAATAATAATAATAATAATAATAATAATAATAATAATAATAATAATAATAATAATAATAATAATAATAATAATAATAATAATAATAATAATAATAATAATAATAATAATAATAATAATAATAATAATAATAATAATAATAATAATAATAATAATAATAATAATAATAATAATAATAATAATAATAATAATAATAATAATAATAATAATAATAATAATAATAATAATAATAATAATAATAATAATAATAATAATAATAATAATAATAATAATAATAATAATAATAATAATAATAATAATAATAATAATAATAATAATAATAATAATAATAATAATAATAATAATAATAATAATAATAATAATAATAATAATAATAATAATAATAATAATAATAATAATAATAATAATAATAATAATAATAATAATAATAATAATAATAATAATAATAATAATAATAATAATAATAATAATAATAATAATAATAATAATAATAATAATAATAATAATAATAATAATAATAATAATAATAATAATAATAATAATAATAATAATAATAATAATAATAATAATAATAATAATAATAATAATAATAATAATAATAATAATAATAATAATAATAATAATAATAATAATAATAATAATAATAATAATAATAATAATAATAATAATAATAATAATAATAATAATAATAATAATAATAATAATAATAATAATAATAATAATAATAATAATAATAATAATAATAATAATAATAATAATAATAATAATAATAATAATAATAATAATAATAATAATAATAATAATAATAATAATAATAATACGAGCACCGCCCGTCTCGCGCGTTTACCCGTTTCTTTGATTTACAAAATATTTTACGTAATCTTATTTTGCTGTTACTAATGTTAAAAAAAATTATAAAAATTATAATGTTTATGATTAAAATAACACCATCGATTTTCATAGCACTAGTGAAAAATACGTTTTTCCCGCCTTTTAAATCAGGTGCTAGCAGAGCCATCTATCGGCGGACATTTCACGAAAAACATAGAAAGTGGGCACAATATTTTCCCCATTTTTTGTTCATTTTCCCCAGCACCATTGGGTTAAAAATAAAAATGGACATAGAATTTTTCTTCTTTAAGACTGGCTTTTTCATACTTTATTAGTTTCTCAACATTGCTCTGTATGTCTTGTTTTTTTTTTTTATAATTATAAAATAACTAATTTTTTCTCCTAGACCACCTGGCAAAGGTCAATGAACCTACATCACACATATATGGGAAGATGATGCTTGGACTAATTCCTTAATTGATAGCAAGCCATAAACTAGGTGGATATTATGTCATCATTTGGCTGAACACTGACAGCATGGAGGTCATGGTGAGTGCTTGTAAAAGTAAGCCATTATTAGCCTCATTTCCTACAGATTATATTGTATAGCTAATGATGTTGCTATTTCTAATCAAGCTGAGAGATAGCTACATTTAACCCCCTCCAGATGGGTGACACCGCTAGGCATGAAAACAAACTGCTCGAAAAGTGGCATGCAGCTGTACACCACGGTGGCGAGCCAAAGCGTGGTGAGCCAGTGATTCAGGCTGATATACTGAACTCATGCACTCAAAGCCAGTGCGCTGCCATTGTTTGCCAGAGCGTAGTTTTGTTTTTGTTTTCTTCACCTGTCACCATTGGGTTAAAGTTATTTTCTAGGTCCATCTCCCAATGCTTAAAAACAAAATGGGGAAACTCTTCTAAATGTATAGCAAAATGGAGCAAGACCATCTTTAAATTAAAAAGGGCACAAATTCAAACTAATGGCTTGGAATGGAAAAAAAAACTGATTGTCAAATCTGTGCCTTTCAGAAAATAAAGTGTAGCATTTATTTAGTAAACAAACAGCTATCCTTAAATGCATATTGACCAACAAAGCTTACCTATGTGCAACAGC